GGAGAACTACCGAGGTAGTGATGCGAACTATTCACTAAATACAAGGAGAAAGGTATATACGCAAAACTTTATACTTCATAAGTATTATTTTCACAAAGCAAATTACATATTTATAATATTTATACATAAACAAGGATAGTTAGTACCTACAGGGAATAAAAAATTTATTGACTACGCAGAATGTTACATCATGTCATGCAACTGCATATACAGGATTTAAATTATCCCATGCATAAGCATATAGAATAAAAAGGATGAAAAACATTCAATATCACTTACATATGGTAAGAAGAAGAGTGTGGAGACACCGTATCGCTTTATATCATTTTGATAAAGCAATTCTCGAAATGGAAAAAGCATATTTGCATACTAGTTTAAGATCAACTAGACTCATAATAGCAATACATGAGATCAAATGCATAGAATTCAAAAACTTTTTGAATATAAAAATGCTAAAGCAATTCTAAAAAATTATGTTGTATACACAAGATAAATTTCCGCAAAATTTCACCCTGTTCCTTGAACAGCACCGACCAAAGTTTAGGGACTTCCCTAAACTTTTACATATTTATCTTCTAGTCCTTCACTAATTGCCGACATGCTAAGGTGATAGCATGAAGATTCTTTTCTGATAAGATGATCTTTGTCTTCTTTTGTAAATGGCCGACAAGACGTGACCTTTCTTTTCTGACTTTAGAGAAAAGAAAGATTCCGATTTTGTCACTTTCTTCATGACGTAAGTGCTTACGTCTTCTGCTTTGTCTCTTTTTGACATCTACATTATTCAGTTGCTGAATGATTATGATCTAGCATTTTACATGCTAGTTTCCATGTCTCCTCAGTAGCTTCTAGTCGATGAAGCTCTATGTCAAGGATTCGGTCCTTCAATATTTTTGATTTGGATTTCCCTTTAGTTAGTAAAACCCAATCATGGCTTTGATCTAAGACTTTAAAGTCTTCATTGAAGACACGTTCGAGAATGAAGTATAATGCCTTTATTCCTAACGCTCGCCTGGTTTGAATCAATTTTTTATTAAGATGTGGAAGTTTTTTATCCACTCCTTTGGCTTTAACGTTAAAATCTTTTATCATTTCCACCGAAATGTAGTTGATGGTTGGATAATATTCCTGCAAATCTTTACTTTCCATAGAAATGCTGAAGAATCTGTAATAAACACCATCTCCTTGTGCATAGTTTTTAACTGAATTAAACAGCTGAGTTGGTAATTGAGATAATTCTTGTAGACCTGGTTTTGCATACACCTGATCTAAATATCCGAATTCAAATAATTGAGTTGTAAAGCCTGGTGATCCATTAGGGAATATTGATATTCTTGGAAACATACTTGTTGTTCCTAAGACACCAAATGTTTCTCCGCTTTCTTCTGGGAGGTTGTAAATATATCTTGTGAAGGCAAGATATTCTTCTTCCTTACGGTGCTGTTTGCCAACCTGAAAAGAAGAAAAAACTTTTTGCTCCTGATGGAATTTTGTTAGTACTACTACTACTTTCTGGTTTCCTAGAGATGATTTTTTCAGCAATTGCTGAGGTTGTGTTTTTTCCTTCTTTCGAAGTAGAAGCATCAACCATTGCGCGATTTTTTTCTTCGTCTTTCGACTTGGGAGTCGGCATATCCGTGCTTACCGTTGAGATGTTTTGGGCACTATGTGCTAGTGGGACATCTCCTGCCACTTTGTTGGGAGTATCATTCCCTTTTGGGATTTGAATTCCTTTTTGGACAAGTGTCCAAATGTTCACACAAAAGTAAAAATTCATTCATGTTTTCAGCTTGTTCAGTATTGAGTTGTTGTATCCCATACTGTGTCATCCTTGTTTGTTCTAACAAGCTTTCTAATTCATCACTCTTATGACATCAAACGGCTATTTGGTAGTGTTTTTACTGAAGCATTGCCTCTTAATTTCCAAAACAATGAAATAAGTTAACAATCAATAAGTTTTATTTTAATGCTAGATTTGATGGCTTAGAGCTTTGCTACATTTAAAACAATTAGGTTGATGAATTTATTTGTGGGTCATTGAACCGATTAGCTCTTAATATTTGAAGGAGTAAGAGTCCATTAATGGTAGATCAAAGAGAAATATAAAATATATGCTTTTATTTTCTTAATAAGTTACCGTAAATGAATAAAACATCATTCTACTTTCAATATATAATTGAAACTGCATTCACTTCACAAAGAATAAATTGTGGGAGTGATAAATTGTCAATAAAGATGGGGAATGACAAACGGAAGAAGAAGAAGAGGAAAATAGAGAAATTAGTCAAGGATGATGTAAACAACAACTTACTGATCATGATGGAAAGCAGCTGATTTTTTGAGTTGAAAAATTGCAATAGTTAGGAGTTGGAGAAGATTAACAAAGAGACGAGTGGTGAGTTGTTGAAAGTTGCACAAAAATACAATCGGATCCCCCCGTTAGTAGTTAAAAATAGGGGGAGTATGAAAGTAAGGGGGTAGCCGCTTGTAAATAGTTTCATTTTTTGGGGTACAAGTGTTCTTTCCCCAAAATTAGGCATCCAAATATAGGTCATTTAACCTTTTGCTATATTTCATTGGATTTTAGTGAATTACATACTGCTATACTTGGATGCCTAATTTTGGGGAACAACACTTGTACCCATAAAGGGAAATTATTTACAAGCGGTTACCTCATTACTTTCATATCCCCTGTTTTTAACTACTAACGGGGGGATCCGATTGTACTTTTGTGCAACTTTCAACAACTCACCACTCGCCTCTTTGTTCCAACTCCTAACTCTTGCAATTTTTCAACGCACAGAACCATTTGTTTTCATCATGATCAATGATGTTGTTGTTTCCATCATTCTCGACTAATTTCTCTATCTTCTTCTGTTTGTCATTATCCATCTCTTCATCACTCTCACGATTTGTGAAGTGAATGCAGTTTCAATTATACTTTGGAAGTAGAATGATGCTTTGTTCATTTTACGACAACTTATTAAGTAATCTTCCCCTTTGATCTACAGTTATATGAACTCTTAGTCCTTCAAGTATTAAAAGCTAATCAGCCCATTGACCTACAGATAAATTCATCAATCCAATTGTTTTAAATGTAGCAAAGTCCCCCAAGGCCTAGCTCGAGTGGCAAAATGTGGAGAATTTGTGGCTTAAGGTCGCAAGTTCAAGCCCCACACAATGCAAAACGAAGCCCGGTATTTAAGTGGAGAAGGGTAGAGGGGCGGGCCCATCATCCACAGAGTTTAGAAGGCTGTGACTGGTCCAAATGGCGGGTCACAAACGGATTTCTACGTTATCAAAAAAAAAAAGTGTCGCAAAGCTCTAAGCCATCAAATCTAGCATTGAAGATAAAACTTATCGATTGTTAACTTATTTTAATATTTTTGGAAATTAAGAGATAATGCTTCGGTGAAATTGAAATAATTTAGTAGTGTTTTCACTGAAGCACTACCTCTTAATTTCCAAAAAAATTGAAATAAGTTAACAATCAATAAGTTTTATTTTCAATGCTAGATTTGATGGCTTAGAGCTTTGCTACATTTAAAACAATCGGGTTGATGAATTTATATGTGGGTCAGTGGACCGATTAACTCTTAATATTTGGAGGAGTAAAAGTTCATATAACTGTAGATCAAAGGGAAATATATTATAGTATATGATTTATTTTCTTAATAAGTTACCATAAATGAACAAAACATCATTCTACTTGCATTCACTTCACAGAGAACAAATTATGGGAGTGATGAATTGGGGAATGACAAACGGAAGAGGAAGATAGAGAAATTAGTCAAGGATGATGGAAACAACAACATCATTGATCATGATGGAAAGCATATGGTTTTGTACGTTGAAAAATTGCAAGAGTTAAGAGTTAGAGAAGCTTAACAAAGAGGCGAGTGGTTAGTTGTTGAAAGTTGCACAAAAGTACAATCGGATCCCCTTGTTAGTAGTTAATAACAGGGGGTATGAAAGTAAGGGGGTAGCCGCTTGTAAATAGTTTCCCTTTTTGGAGTACAAGTGCTCTTTCCCCAAAATTAGGTATCCAAGTATAGGCCATTTAACTTTTTGCTATAATTCGTTGGATCTTAGTGATATTATAAGTTTAGCCCATTTTAGTTTTGTATCGTATTAAGGATACAAAACAAAATGGTAATGTTGAACAAGTTTGCACATGACTCTTGAATGCTGACGAAGAACATTTTGTTTTCTTGTTTCTTTTAATGTTGGTTTACCAGTCAATTTGCTCTCATCAATGCCATGATTATTGTGATGAAGATTGAAATAATGAAAGCACAATTCTAGAATAGTTGGTTCTCCTCTTTTTCTTCAACTTACATGGATTTTGGTTCTCCATTTCTCTGGCTCCGATCAATAATTATTTGTGGATATTGCACGTGTCATACGGTATTTCAATCAATAATGTTTGATTCTGCAGCTAATTTTTTTTAATGATTCCGGAAATTCTGTAATATACATCACTTTCACTCCAAGGAATTTTTTTTATGAAGGGGTGAGGGGGGTAGCAATATCTCTATTCCATTGGTCTTACAGACTCAATTTTGTATGTGGACATGTTTATTTTGAGTTTTCCAACATGATGGGTTTAGGCTCTTGATAATCTTAGCAGATATTTTTAGGATAAGTTGTTAACCTATTCAATAGAATGTCTATGATTTCTCAAATAAGATGCCCTTATATAAGACTTTTATGTTTATCTGATTGATACCAACTTTATACAAAATATTCAGCCTTTCTCAAATTCAAATAAGGATCTAAATGTCGAAGAAAATGAGAGGTAGACAACTAGGATTGTATAAGACTAGTATGTTAGCCTTTTCCCTTTATTAATTGGTGAAATGGAGAGGTGTAGGATAGTTTAAAACTGTACTTTCATTTTTTAGTTTAACAAGTTGAGTTAGCAGTGAAGAGATGGATGTATTAAACTCTTCTTTATTGTGTATTTCATTCTTTATTTCTTCTTTCTGCTGCTAAATCAGATTTTAGGAGCAAAAGTCATGATACTTGAGGCCTTATCCAGTAACAACTGACTGATTATCGTAATCTCTCTGGGACACCATATGAAACACTTGCAGCCCTAAACCTCTTTAGGGTGATATGCATCCATTCTTTTATCCCTTTTATGTAAGTTAACCTACTTTAATAATCAAGTTAATTTGCTATTTCAGTTTTACCGTTGCGTGGTTTCTTTTGTTGAGTTGCATTTTACTCTATGATATTTTGATGTCAGTCATGTAAATTTTCTGTGTGAGTGTGTTAACATGGCTGGAAGTTTGATGCGACAACTCTTTTCCTTTTCATATTTGAATTTAATTTAGTTAGAGAAGAACAAAAATAGAAAGAGCTTTTCTATCGCATCCAATCCTGAATGTTCGTATGCATTTTAAGAAAAAAAGTCTTGTCGTCTAATTTTTCTCACTTTGCTAACAGTTGGCAGTATAACTTAGTTATAGTTTGATCAATGACTTGTAGGTTCATAAACAGATATGTTACCTCTGTTATCAGTTCTTTGTCTGACAACTTATTAAGTTTTTATTTTTAACAGACCTAATTGCTCTCAAAGTGTATATCTGATTGACAAGCGTCAATCTTTTATAATTGGTTAATATGTCATAGACATGATCGAGAAAGGGGTGTTCCGTGCACTAAAGCTGGGCTATGCGTGGGATCCGAGGAAGGGCTGGACAACAGGGTCTAATCCAAAAAATTCATGTTGAACATGGAGCTGCTATAGTGATGCTCAAGGCCAACTGTGGTGAATTAAATTACTTTTAGGATGTAAACTTACAAATTATATTTAAACAATTTTCTACTAACATGATATATCAGGTATCTTTTGCAGGTATTGAAGTGTTCACTTGAGCAAGTCAAGATACAAGTTGTCAAGTTTCTTATAATTTTTCTACTGTTAGGTAAATAATTTATATCTTTTGCTGAGGATGTTAGATTTCTTGAAGGATTGTGTAAACAATACAATGACCTACTAAAAGTTTTTTCTTTCCTACTCAAGGTTAATTTCCACTAATAATTGATGTTGAAACATAATTTAGGGACAATTATGTTACTACCGTTAAACAATTGTCGCAAAAAACTTTACTTGTTGCAGTGAGTAGGTGTTATAAAAATTGTGCATTAGTTAGAGCTTGCAGCTTGGCTGAGGCTGATTGAAACAAAAGAAACAGAAAAAGATTACCAAACCATGGGTTTGCAATAGTTTTGATCATGCCATTCTGAATTTTTCCCATATAAAGTGTCAATCTATCTCTATATGTTTTGTTCTTTCATGGATTTTGGGTTTGTAGCTTTACTGTCAATGTTCACTTGAACTGGTAGAACTGACTTGAGCTCCAATTTCCTTAAGTATCCCAGAATTCATGTTAGCTTAACTACAGTAGACGATGCTAAGCTTCTGTATTCAGTTTCAACTGAACTTCTAGATGCTATACTTTGCTTTTTTTATTTCCAAGAGATTACAGAGTCACCTAGTTTGATTAAAAAGCCTATCACAATTTTTCTGGAGTTTGGACATGCTGTCTTGTTCTTTGGTGCTGCTTGATATGAGTATTCCCCGCTGTTCATTTTGAAGGCTTGATGTAGTGCTGTCTTGGTTTCTTTAATTAGTTGTAAGTTACTACCAGTGATAAGCATGCCATCCACATATACTAGGATGACTATCAGATCATTTCCAACTTTCGTCGAGACTAAAAAGTGATCATCTTGGCTTTGTTTGAACCCAGATTGCTTCCAATAACTTTGTATTCCATTGTCTTGGGGCATGTTTTAGGCCATACAAGGATTTTTAAGAAGCTTGCATACTGGTCTTGTGTCCCTTAGCTCTTAAAACCTTATAGAAGATCCATGTAGACCTCATCACGAAGATCTACTTAAAGGAAAACATTGTATACATTTTGGGTTGATCACTTGATACCATTTTGATTACCTCTGGTAATCAATGCCCTCTTGTTGATTGTATCCCTTTGCTACTAATCTAGCCTTGAACCTTTTAATTCCACCTGCGTCTCTATATTTTATCCTAAAGTCCCATTTGCAGCCAATGCCAGTAGGCCTCTTTCCTTCGGGTAGAGGAACTATTTTCCGAGTGTTGTTACTTTCTAGAGCAGCTATTTTACCTTCATTGCATCCACCTACCTAGGATCTGAGACACCTTCACTATAAGATGATGGTTCTACCTTGGTTGAACTAGCAGCAGCGAAAGCTCGATAAGCAGAAGAGAGAATGATCATAGTGAATGTAATTTGCAATGATGGAAGGTCTATTGTGACACCCCAACTTAAGATAAAGAAATCTCACATCGGCAGAACACATGAGAGATGTTGGGTATATAAGTAAGCAGACTGTGCGGGCCTAGGTCCAAAACGAACAATATCACTAGTGAGCTGGGTCGTTACATCCATGCTCATACAACATTTCATATTGCGACTTAATTGTTAAGCACAGATCATGTTAATTAAGTAAGTTGCAGCTAGAACATAGTTAACAAAAGCTTAAAACACTTTTGACCTTCCAAAAACTTGTTCTAACAGACTATAAGTCGTAAAGAGATCTCTAAAGGAAGGAAGGAATTAACAAACTTATATGATTGTATATATTTCTGTTACACCCCAAATTCAAATCACACTAGAGAAATATATCAGTTCAAACAAACATAGAAGAAAGGCACAAACCTAAGAAGTGATCATCATATGATCAGTTCCATGGCTCTACTTTATTATTACAGAATTAAGCTTGTATAATAACACACTTAAATTACTGTGGAAATTAGTAATTTAGCAATTGCAAGGGTCACAAGTGCAGTTTGATCCACATTTGCATCCATTTCCTCCTTCTGCTTTCTCCTCAACCATTCCATAGCTACAACATTACATTACATTACATTACAAGTAAGTAATCTTTTAAATTTCATTTCCCAATTTAATAACTATATAGTATATGTTTAAAAAAAGGGAAAAAATATACGTACTTGTTGATGGGTGCAACACCTTGAACGATGGTAAAGGTAGCAGACTTCTCCATGTCTGGGTACATTCCACATCTACAATAATATATATCGAAAAATGTTTAGTGGTTATTTTCATTGATTTTTTGGTGGAATAGGTGAGGAAAGAAAAAATAGTAATGCTTTCATACAGAAAAATTAAGACGTGAGAATTTGTTTTTCACAATGCATTTTTCTAGATTGTTTGATATAAATTGAGTAGAAAAATTATGTTCTGTAGCTCCAATTTACTACTAATTTGTGGTGGGAAAAACTTTGTTTCTAGTATAAGGCCTACTCTTTTCTGGTGCATATGGGTAGGAAAAAAAATATTGAAAATACCCCTAAATTTTGCACAAATTATTAGTTTCATCTTCGAATTATTGACAATCTTAAAAATATCTCTTAACTTGACTAAACGAACTTAAACACACCCTTGATCTTGCAACATGAGTGAAATACACCCCTTAATTCTTGTAAGTTAAAGGGGGTGTTTTCAATACTTCTCTCGGTTTTTATTAAGAACTCCATGCTCTTACAAGAGTTTGAGACTACTTGCTATGTCAATGTGGCAAATTGGGAGTGTATCAAAGTTTAGTTAGTCAAGTAGAGGAGTGATTTTAAGGCTGTAATAGTTCAAGACGAAACTAATAATTTGCGCCAAATTTAAGAGTATTTTCAATACTTCTCTCCCTAAACCTATAAATTCATATAAAAGGGATTAAGCAAGTGGTAAACATTTTTCATTAAGATTGTGGATACGAGTAACCAAATAGATTAATATGTAATTGGTAAGTAGGAAATCAAATGAAAGTTACCCTCCACAGCCACTGCCGCACTTGCAGCCAGATCCACAGCCACAGCTTCCTCCACAGCAAGACATGTTCACTTAATTTGTTTTTGGAAATGAGAGATTAAATTTGTTGTAAAAGAAAGTGTAATTACTAAAGCAAGTTCTTGTTGTAGTTGTGATGAAAAATGAAACATAGTGAGGGGTTTTTATAGGAGAAAAAAGAATAAATTTGGTGATATATGTGTGCCTAACACGTTGACAATTAAGTGAAAATTTGTATTTAATAGTACTTTATTATGTTAGAAATATCTATAATTTTTTATTTAGAGGAGAAAGGCATGGAGCTTGCTGCCACAAAGAGTAGAATTGATCAGCCACCCCCACAATGTTTGACATTCGTGTGGTGGGTTCGAAAAATCTCGTATATTTGGGGCTAATTATATTTTATTCCTAAAGTTTTTCCAATCGCAAAAAATCTGAATTTTTCATCGCTCTTGGATACACTCCTTAGTTGTTGATACATTACTTAATGTGATGGATGTATTCAAGAGGAGATGATGTATCTAAAAAGGGATAGAGATTTATTTGAGAGAGGATTTTTTTGTAAAAAAAATAAATGATAGGAAATTTTAGAGATTATGATATTTTAAGTTGTGTATTTATGTAAGTTTTCCCAAATTATATACTCTACTACTTAAAAAATAAAGTACGTTAATTACTTTGAGAAACTATGAAATTCGCTATGATATTTGTCGACAGATTCTAACTTATCTGTTGTTAAAACACTGTAAACTAATTAAATTATCTTATAATTCATAGCTAATTCAAAATTAAATGAAATTAGCATGAGATTTTTCAATTCTAAACAATGACACTTGGGTTGGGCATCAATATAGGACTTATAGACTTTTAAGTACATATTAAATAACATTATCCAATTAGTATCGAATTGTTGGTGACATGACTTTAATTTCTTACCTATATAATTTGATTCCACTTGCTTTTAATAAACGTAGGCCTTTTGTTTTGTTCCATTAAATAATTTCTAAAAGCATCAACAAGACCATATTCATTTTCCTGTCTCAATCAATCTAACTAGAAAGGCATATATTTGGAGTTTTTAGATTCTTGAAAAACTTAGCAACATAACAACCAAAGAAAATTGTTCTTTGTTAAATTCTCAGTATCAACCAACTTATTTGATAGTATTAGGACCTTGTCAAAGAGTTCTAAGATTTTAACTATTACAAAAACTTGCACTAGCTAGTAGGTAGGGGCACAAGACCCATAAAATGAGCATGACATTTTATTATTTTGGTATAATGGAAAAGACAAAAGGTTTATAGGTTTATAATGCAACGTCTTCTCTTAGATCTGTTAGGAGAAGAAATTTCATGTTGTTGAGTACATTCTCACGTTACCAAATTTTTATTGGTTTGATTTGTCTTTCACTCTTTCTCCATTTATGTTTGATAGAGCTAGTTTTAGTAGGAGTAACATTTAATAAATATTTGCAATTTTCAACAAATGATCGCAAGAGAATAATGTTATATGTCTTTATTTTAATAAGCTTGACGTTAAGTAAACCATCTGTTTGCTACATGGATACTTTTACCACAGAAATTTTTAGTATGTCTCGCATAGCTAACGGTAGTTGTGTCAGACTCGTTTTAATATAAATTTGAATCCATTTTTTTTGTCTCACACAATTAATGTTAATTGTGCGAGACATATAGTAAAAAAAACTCCTCGTTCTACTAAAGGATGTGTGATAGGTAGTAAAAATCTTTTTGCCCTTAAAGATTTAGATTCGATTATAAAATTGAGTCCTCTTTTATAAAGAGTGTTGAAACCTTCAATTCATATTGAATTTTCAATATTGTGAATTTGAATAAATCAGATTAGTGCATTTTGGATGGTAAAAACTAAGAGATGCTCACAAAAAAATCCTTTTCTTTTTCTATTTCTAACCGTCCAATATGGTGTTTCATCAATCATCAATCTCTTTTGCTTTTGGTGAATACATACCAGAGGCTCAGCCAAAAAAATTATTAAGCGGCTTAAAATTTAAAAAAAAAATATATACAAACTAGTCAAAGGAAGTTTAACATTTATTACATATACATAAAAAAATAATTTTAATCATATATAAATAGTATATTTTTTTATCGAAAGAGAATGGAGTAAACTTCTGACCATAAGCTGACTTCCCCCCTGCGTACCATACCTCTCAGATATCTTCTACTAAAAGAAATATATCACGGGACTTGAGAGGTGCTTGATACCTTCCCCTGGTCAACATAATCACTTACCTAAATTTCTAGTTTGCATACCAACAAAATGAAGAGTCAATTTCTTTTTTAGTAGGAATTTAAATAAGGTAACTTAGAACACCAAAATTCAACTCCAAGTGACGACTATGTAAAATAAATAATTCATTTTCAAAATGTCACTTTAATGGAAAAAACTATTTTTTCTCAAAACTTTCGTTTATAAAAATAGGAGTGTGACACATAGAATTTAAATTCTGAATCCTTCTGTATACAAGTGCATATGGAAATGAAACATAGAGATAGATAGCATATACTACAATGTACTTGAAGTTCTCAACCTTCTTGTTTTATAATTTTCAATTCATTCCGAAAAAGGATATAAGAGAAAGTTCAATTTCTCCTTGGTCTCGTTGTCTCCGCCATGCATAAAATAACTTGCACATAATTATTCAGTGCAATATAAATTATTTTTTATTTTAATTATTTGATATTCTATTGTATTTTGCTAGACACATAATAGCGTTTCACCAAGTTTTTTTTAAAATTTTATTTTGTATATTACAAATTTCCCCAAAACTAATAAGTGCATAGTCAAAACAAATTGACTTAGAGTCTAAAGATGAAATAAAAGAAAATATACAGATAGAAAAGGGTTTTTTTTTTAGCTTAAAAAGTTGATTGACTAAAAAACAATGAATCTCTAGCAAAAAAATAATAATAATACATAAATTTATTTGCTAGATGAGTAATTGAAAGAATTCTGTTCAACAGTCCAAGGTATTGATTCAATGTTTCTGTTCTTAATCAAATTGTTTATATAAATTTGACTTAGGGCCAAAAAGAAAAAGTACGCAATTGATATAGATAGTCATTGCACTTAAAAATAAATTAATAATTTTTTAAAGGTAAATTATGTGTGACATATTATGAAGAAGTAGAAAAATAAAATACACAATTAAAATGATTTTTTTATGTATGATTATGTGGCAAATAATGATTGAAAAGTAACTCCATATAAAAAAAATAGCCCAAGAAGTAAAGATCAATTACTTTTTGTTACACAATTAATGATAAAATTCAACAATAAATATTATTAAAAAACTCAATTTTTTTTTTTAATTATTGAGATAGTCTTATTAATGTGAAAATTAATATGGCATTAGATATGTATTTTCGTTGAACAATAAAAGTATATGAAATTCTGAGATCCATGCAAATTCATTCTTTTAATCGAGTATTATTATTGTATATAAGTGAGATAAGTATGTCATTAAAACTAAACATTAACCAATTATTTACTTTTGAAGGACACAAAAATCAAAGAGAGATTATTAATATAGAATTAATTCTGAAAACAAAAAACAAAAAATCAAAAAACAAAAAAAGAATATTAAATATAAAGGTCCACTTGTAATAATTTTGAAAAGAAAGTAAAAGTGAATATTATTATTAACCAGGCCACCAGGGTATCTTCACTGTACTCAAATGCTTCTCTACAGTTCCCTTACCGCCATTGCTACTTCTCCGGTCGCAGTTTATTTGCCACCATTGCTGAAGTCTCGAGTTCTCCAAGTAGGTGTTTAGATTTCTTCTTCTTATAATCTGCGCATCGGTTATTGGCCTTGCTGTGAAGGCTGTAAAGGTGAAGGGTTCCGACTAATCTGATTTTTTTGGTGATTAAATGGATAGGATTTTTGTCTCTGTTGTTTTCGGGTCGTATAAGTTTAGAATATCTATGATATTGCTTTATTTGGATAATTTCGGTATTTATTTCTCTGCTAATTTTTGGCTTAAAAAATAGTGCTTTTTACTAAACCTTGAATTTTGTTGTTCTTAGTGAGCTGAATCTGTCTAATTGGAGAAGAATTAGTATTTAGGATTAAAATAAACTACTCTGGTGATTAAGTAGTAGCTAATGTTGATGTTGTGTTAGCTGGTGCTTGATCGTGGTGTTTGGTGCTGCACTTAATAGATGATTATCAAGATGTTTATTGAAAGTAGTTAGTTAGAACAGTTCAAGTAATAAGTTAGTCGTTTCATAAAGTTAGTTAGAAGAGTTAGTTAAATATTGTTTAATTAATTATAGATTAGTTACAAGTTAATTAGTTACAGATTAACATTCTTGTTATAAATAAGAGTTTTCTATTCATTGTATTCATAAGTTTGAGTAGTGAGAAACTGAAAAATCTCAATTGCTCTCTCAATTTCAATATGGTATCAGAGCCATTGAGCCAATAATTCTTTGGTTCAGCTCGATTCTGTTTCTGGAAACCACTATTGACGAAGTACACCATTGAAAAAGTTTGAAGCTTCGATGCCGTCAACAACTACAGACTCAGTAGATGAAATTGTTGCAGTTGCGATGGAGACGCTTGCAGTGATTGAATCGAAGAGGAATCACCCTCTTTACCTACACCCGTCAGATACTCCGGGATCTATCTTGACTACGATTCAGCTTACTGGTAGCGAGAACTATTCTCTATGGAGTCGATCAATGCTGATTAATCTCAGCGCGAAAAGCAAGATAGGTTTTGTGCTTGGACCTGCAAAAGGAGTGATTATACATCTGATTTGGAGGAACAATGGGGAAAATGTAATGCGTTTGTACTTGCCTGGATTATGAACACTGTCTTGAAGGAGTTGCTAAGTGGAATTGTATATGCCTCTGATGCCGCGATTGTTTGGGAAGATTTAAACGAGCGATTCGATAAAGTCGATAGATCAAGAATTTACCAGCTTCATAGAGAGATTTGCACTATCCACCAAGGTAATTTGATTGTTTCAGCTTACTTCACTAAATTGCGATTACTATGGGATGAATTCAATGCTCTTGTACCTCCACCATCATGTAGCTATGATAGATCTAGATCTTATATGGATCACATTCAGTACCTAAGTTTGTTTGGTTTTCTAATGAGATTGAGTGAGACATATGGACATGCTAGAAGCCATATTTTGATAATGCATCCACTACCAAGTGTGGGTAAGGCATACACAATGATAGTTGCAGATGAAAGTCAGATAATCACTTCAGGTACACGCATAGGGGGAGATATGGTTGAAAACATAGCTTTGTATACAGGAAGAAGAGGTTATAATCCTGGACACAATCATACTGATGGGGACAAAGTTGAATCACCAATGTATCCTAATCAGGGTAACTATAATGGGAAGAAGAAAGTGAATTGAAACTTGTTTTGTGATCAATGTAAGATGTATGGTCACATTCAGAAAATATGTTACAAACTCGTTAGATATCCTGAGGGGTGGAAATTCAAGAAGAAAACATCTGAACAAAATTTCACCAACACAGCCTGCTAATGATTACAGCTCCATTCGTAATAATCTGCAAGCATTTGCTGCACAACCAAATTTCACTCTCAATCAGTATCAAAAGATAGTACACCTACTGAAAGAAGAGGAGCAAATTGCAGGAACAACCAACATGGCAGGTAATTCTAATAAAACTGCTTTTTTGTCCATTAAGGATAATGAATATGCTGCTAGAAAGGAAGATTGTGTTGTTATGAATGGTAGAACTGAACCTAATTGTATCAGAAAGGAAAACTGGATAGTAGATTCGGGAGCAACATGCCATATGACTTCTTCACTAAAAACATTGAACAAAGTATACACATCAAATAGAAACATTGGTAGGAAAGTATATTTACCTAATGGCCAATCAACTTTAATGACTCATTCAGGCAGTTGTGTTATACAAACAGGAGGAGAATTGGAGAATGTCCTTGTAGTACCTGAATTCAAACATGATTTGATGTCAGTATCTCAATTAACTAGACATTTGAACTGTTCTGTTCATTTTTTTCCTGATTTCTGTGTATTTCAAGACCTCTTCAATGGAGAGGTAAAAGGGATTGGTAAAGAGATTGAAGGATTATGCTTCTTCCCTAGACAATTCTCAAGTATACAAAAACAAACAGATGTTGGTGAAACCAAGGCTTTGATGACACACTCAGATAATTCACAGTGTATAGTATGGCATAATAGGCTGGGGCACCCTTCTATCAAAGTGCTGAGGTAATTGTCATTGATAAAAGAAAACTCTGATGTAAGGTTGTGTGATAGCTGCTCAGTCTGTCCATTAGCAAAGCAAACCAAGCTCCCATTTCCCTCTAGTATGTCTGTAACAAATGTTATTTTTGATCTAATTCATCTTGATGTATGGGGACCATATAGATGTAATATTCATAATGGTTTTAGATTCTTCTTGACTATTGTTGATGATCATTCAAGAATGACTTGACTGTTTTTTATGAGACTGAAAAGTGATGTTCTTGGTACCCTAAGATCCTTTTTCTTGCTTGTAGAAAATCAGTTTAACAAAAGAGTTAAAAAGATAAGGTCTGATAATAGGACAAAATTCTTTAACAAAGAATGTAGTTTGTTGTTTGATGCCTTAGGGATCATTCATGAAGCAGTTGTTCATACACTCCACAACATAATGGAGTGGTGGAAAGGAAACATAGACATATACTTGAAGTAGCAAGAGCACTTAGATTCTAAGGAAGCATTCCCATCAGGTTTTGGGAAGAGTGTGTGACAACAGTTGTGTATCTGATAAATAGAATGCCTACTGTAGTTTTACAAGGTCAATCACCCTATCGGGTCTTTCATAAATCCAAGCCATCCATTGATCACTTGAGAACACTATGTTGTCTGGCATATGCAACCAAAATAGTAAAGGAGGACAAATTTTGTTCCAGGGCACATGCTTGCGTTATGATGGCGTATTCAGCCACTCAGAAGGGATACATATTGTATGATTTGGACCTCAAAAGGTTTATAGTAAGTAGAGATGTCATCTTTAAGGAGCATATATTTCCTTTTAAAAAATTGCAGGACAAGTACATGTCAATTTTTGTCAATAAACCACTCAAGGATTATGATGTTGCTGCACCTGTCAATGTTTATGATGATAAGACATGCCACAATCATGACCAGCAATAAGGGTATGAAGTTAGTTTGGATAATAATGTAGAAGAAGTCCAAGAAACTGATGTACATGATTCAGAAATAGTACAAGACCAAGAGGATGCTGCAGAATCCTCAACAAGTGTAGATGTTGTGAATAAAGTAAGGCCTAGATCCTCTTTTAGGATATCTCACCCTCCCATTTGGATGAAAGAGTATGTGACTAAAGTGACTGATTCTGACCATCATTATTCACTGGCAAGCTGTGTTTCCTACAACAAGTTGTCTCCTACTTATCAAGCTTATTTGAGAAGGTTGTCTAATGAAACTGAACCAAGAACATATGAAGATGCTATTAAGGATCCAGATGGGTAGAAGCTATGAAGCAAGAAATTGCAGCATTGAAGGATAATGGAACCTGGATTGTTATGAAGATGCCACAAGTGAAGAATGCAATAGGGTGTAAATGGGTTTTTAAGATTAAATACAAGGCAAATGGTGAGGTTGACAGGTTCAAGGTTAGGCTTGTACCAAAAGGATACAATCAGACAGAGGAAATTGATAATCAGGAGACTTTTTCCCCAATAGTTAAAATGGTAACTGTGAGGTCAGTTATTGCCATTGCAGCAACATAAAATTGGATGGTCTACCAGATGGATGTGTTCAATGCATTCTTGCAGGGTGATTTGGTTAAGGAAGTATACATAGAATTACCTAGGGGCTTTGCTCAACAGGACAAACATCAAGTTTGCAAACTAGTGAAGTCATTGTATAGATTAAAACATGCCTTTAGAAAATGGAATGCAAAGTTGACTGATGCTTTGTCTGAATCTAGTTACACACAAAGTCATTTAGATTACTCTCTATTCACCAAGAAGAAAGGATCAGCATTGGTTATTGTCCTTGTGTATGTAGATGACCTATTAATTACAGGGAATGACTCTTTGTTGATACAAGAAACCAAGCAGGTGCTACATCATCATTTCAAAATAAAAAATTTAGGAGAACTGAAATATTTTTTGGGGATAGAATTTTGTAGGTCTGCACAAGGGATTGTGATGAACCAAAAGAAGTATTCCCTGGAGTTGGTGTCTGAAGCTGGACTGGCAGGTGTTAAACCTTCATCCACACCTTTGGAAAGCAATATTAAACTAACATGTGCAGAAATTAATTCTAAGGATGTCCTATTTGCTAATGTAAACATATCAAAGACTCATTGGGAAACTACTTTATCTCACTAACACTAAGCTTGATATAGCTTTTTCAGTCCAATGCTTGAGTCAGTTTATGCAGAAGCCCACAGTATGTCATTGGAATGTAGCCTTGAAGGTGATTAGATATATCAAAGTTGCACCAGGGCTGGGGTTGCTTATGAGCTCTAAGAAACAAACCACAATCACTGATTTTTGTGATGCAGACTGGGCAGCATGCCTCAATACCAGGAGGTCAGTTACTGGGTACTTGTTGAAGTATGGAGAGTCACTAATATCCTGGAAATCAAAGAAGCAAAACACTATTTCCAGAAGTTCTGCTGAAGCAGAATAAATAAGTCTTGCCAAAATAAATCTCTTTCTACCTTCACAAAACTTCTCGCGCCCTTCTCGTAGTTTTGACTTGCTCTTAGGCCACCGTTGACCGGCTTCGCGAGACCATTTCGGTTTCCAGTGAACTGGTTCAATGAAAAATGAGTGGAATAACATTTACTACGATACATATTTTCCACTTATTGAGATGGAAAAACCCATTATTTCTATTAGTGTGTATTCTTTTGTGGTGCATATGGGTAGAAAAGGAAAAAAGGAGTGATGTTGACATATGCGGATTTAAGGTGGATTTTATCTAAATTCATTGCTTTTACTTGAATTATACACCTAGTTAAGTTTAGACGTGTCTTTGAGATTTTGATTATACTCTAGAGGATACTTGTGCCTTGTCCCCTATAAATATCTAAATTATTCACTGATAAAGAAATTGACATTTTAACAACACAAAACATTATATTAACGTTTTCTCAATTCTAAAGTTTTCTCTCATCATTTTCTCATTTAAAACAGACTTATAAAGAATATTCATACCGGAATCTCTTATTCCAGAATGAACACTTAAAGTTATCAAAATAATAATTGAAGCAATGACACTTCAATTTTACTGATTTGCTCATTTAGCTTATTTAATTATATTGATGTTCTTTATACGCTCATCAAACAACATCCAATCAATCTCCATATTTTTAAGGGGAAATTGTATGAAATAACAAAATTATTAATTTAAATTAAATGTTATAGTCATAGTTTATTTTATTTGTAATTCGCAGCAAACATCCATTTTTTTTGTCATCTGATTCGGTATACAATTACTCATTTCGGTATACAATTACCCATTCGGTATACAAACCCATTCGGTATACAATTACTATTTTTTAGTTTGTTTATACAAATTCAATTTGTTGTTTGTATATATTACCCATTCGGTATACAATTACTATTGTTTAGTTTGCTTATACAAATTCAATTTGTTGTTTGTATATTTTCCATAGTTATACATAACAAGACATGTTTGTATAATCTCTTTATGTATATATGTAGTAATTTTGTTTATATACAATTACTATGTTTTAGTTTTTATACAAATCAATATACAGATTATCGAAATATACAGATCAAGACATGAGAGGTTTTTATGTATAAGTATACTGAAATATACAAATACAGTGTATATGTATACCAAAATATACAAATGCACTATATATATATACCAAAATATACAAATGCAGTGTATATGTATATCGAAATATACAGATTAATAGTCATAGCAAACATAAAGTTTGCTATGAATCGCAATTATACAAACTATAGTTATAGCATACAAATATGATTTTTATATTTGCTAAACCTAAAATTTACTCTTTCTTTAACCTTACAATAAATTCAACTAAATACCATTTTTTGAGCAAGCAAAATTTATATATAAAAATCCATTAGATTTGTAACTTTGGTAAACATGGATCCATAATTATAAAAAGGGAAAAGGGTTTGATATACCCCTCAACTTTGCTTTTTGGAGCTGATATACCCCTCGTTATGAAAGTAGCTCATATATACCCTTACCGTTATACAAACGACTCACATATACCCCTATCGTTACAAAATGAGCTCACATATACCCTTCATTTAACGGAAGTGAAAAAATTAATTTTAAACTTATATTTTTGACTTTTTTTTATAAAAAAAAATCATTTAGGGGTATATAGGATTCTTCTAGCAAAGTTCAAGGTATATTTCAATTTTTTTCATACATAAATTATTTTTTGACTTCTTTGATTTTCATTATTTTAGTTTCTTATTCTTATTTTATTTTTTTCTTTCATTCCTTAGTGTAAAGAAAAAAATTTAAAACTATTTTTTTGTGGCTATATTATAATTTAAAAC